GAAAGCCTTTTAAATCTATTAATTTATGAACTATTTCTGGCATCTATTATTAATACTATCTATATTCTATCTCTCTGTATATTCTTTTAAGTATAATTTTAGTCATACATAAATTGAAAATTTGAGAATACTACGTCAAAGTATAATTAAAATACATATGGCATAAAATTATTGGACTATCAAGCCATATTTAATTAAAATTATCTTTTTTTTGGAAAAATAAATTGATAGAATGTGAAAAAATGAATTTTAAATTTAAAAGGAAAGTCCAAATTTTTTTCAATCATATATAATTTGAAAGTATTTAAATGAAATTTTTTGCTATAAATCTAAATTTATCAAATAAATAAATGAAAACTTGAAAATAAAAAATATAAGGTTGAAATTAATAATTAATAAATATTTCTACAAATTGAGACATCACGTATCTTGACCAGCTCTAGTCCTAAAAATATAGTCCGTGGATTAGACCGATCAAGCCTTGCATAGCTTTTCAAATGTAAATATACCTTAATTTTGAAATAATAGAGGTAATATTTTGAGAATAAATATATAAAATTCATAATTAGTGATTTAAAATGTTAATATATATTCAAAAATTACATACATATTTCTTATTTTGATTTAAAAAAATATTCAAAAATATATATTTATGGATTTAAAATAAATAAATAAAGTAAGGAGGTTAAATATGGGTTAAGTATGAAGCAAAAAGATTTTTCAATAAATAGACTTGGACCAAGAAATGTTAGAATAAATGTCGATTCAGACTCGGCTTTAGGGATACATTTATACTGTATTTGGTTGGGAGATTTGAGAAAAGATTTGGAAAGAAAAATAGAAAAGGAAAGTGAAATGTTAATATATATTCAAAAATTACATACATATTTCTTATTTTGATTTAAAAAAATATTCAAAAATATATATTTATGGATTTAAAATAAATAAATAAAGTAAGGAGGTTAAATATGGGTTAAGTATGAAGCAAAAAGATTTTTCAATAAATAGACTTGGACCAAGAAATGTTAGAATAAATGTCGATTCAAACTCGGCTTTAGGGATACATTTATACTGTGGTTGGGAGATTTGAGAAAAGATTTGGAAAGGAAAATAGAAAAGGAAAGTGAAATATGAATAAAATATACTTACATTTCCCTTAATTTCACACATTTTTCTCCTTTTCCTTTCCAAATCCCTTCCTAAATCCCCTAACCAAACACAGCATTAATGTCTAACCCTATTCCCCTTACAATCTAGAAAACTATTTTATAATTTTAACATAAAATTTAAAATAATTATTATCAAAATAATTTTACTAATTAATCAATCAATTTCTTGATTAGGTCAAAAACTAGGGTTAGAACATGACCCATGGTCCAGCTGGGTAGGGTTAGGATTTGGAGATTAGGCAAGTGATATTCGAATTAATTGGGGTGCCAAAAGGAGAAAAATCAAATTTGAAAATAGAGTGTTAATAGAAAAGGGGTATCCAACTAAATATTTGGAATGCGCTCAGGGTGCGTTTGTTTGGACGAACTGAATAAGAGGAATAGTAATCCATCAGACTATTAGTCCTGGGATACATTGTCCCTGGACTATTTTGTTGGACTAAATTTGTATCCTATGTTTGTTTAGTCATGGGATTAGAGGTCTAGATTGGACTATTCTATTGAATCCCATGTTTGTTTGGGATATTATGGAAAAGGATAAATATTCAAAAGACTATTTTATCCTTATAATTTATAATTTTTATTTAATATATAATTTTAAATTTTAAATTTATAATTTTTAATTTAACAACACTAAAAAAATTTAATTTATAAGGCCATAATTTTTAATTTATTATTTTCAATTAAATTAAATTTATAATTTATATTTTTTATTTAATATATAATTTTAAATTAATGACAATAAAAAAAAATTTATTTAATATAAATTAAATTTTCAACAACACTAAAAAAATTTAATTTATAAGGCCAGAATTTTTAATTTATTATTTTTAATTAAATTTAATTTATAATTTATAATTTAAATTTTTTATTTAATATATAATTTTAAATTAACAACACTAAAAAAATAATTTATAAATGTTCAAAAGACTATTTTACCCTTTTCTAATTGTTTACTAAGTAATAGCATAGAGGGTAAAATAGACATTTCACAAAATAATCCCATGGGATACCAATCTCATGGTTTCTATCCCACCCCCCATGGGATAGGATAGTCCCATATTTGTGGGATTAATAGTGCGGAGCAAAATTTTTCAAACAAACAATGGACTATTATAATCCAGTAGGACTAATAGTCCAATCCCACACCCTTATCCCTCAAAACAAACATGCTCTTAAAACACTCGTAAATATAACGGTAATTTAATTTTCACACATTAATTTTTCTCAGTATACATACTTAATGAATACTTTCTCAATACACACATCTCTATAATCCAATATTACCCTCATTTTCAATTTTAAAACCCTAAGGCTATGCTTTGTTTCAATGTTTGAATCAATTTTTTAATTTTTTTTTGAAAAAATTATTAATTAATTTGACAAAAACAAATATCCAAAAAATATTTTAAAATTTTTTTATTATAAAAAATACTAATAGATATGTGTTAATCAAATTTAAAAATAATTAAATAATTAATTTGATAAAGTAGCTCTTCAATTTGTATTGATTGACTTAATTGTAATATGACTCATGGCATCCTGGCCATCCCATAATATTTTGAAATTTAGAAAATACCCTTGCAAAGTTTAAACTTAAATTTATCAAATCTTATCAATTATCAATCAACAAATCAAATTTTACTACTTTTATTATTTCAGTTTGTCGTGGCGTGGCTCCTGGAGTTAGACTAGCTTAGCTGAAACTCGGGCTTAAATTTCAATTTATATTACTTCCCGTTTAACAAGTGAGTTGAGTTTAAGTTAGAATTAAAAAAATATAAAAAGACAAAATAAGTTAAATAAATCAATAAGAAAAATATTTTATCCAAATCATAATAATTATATTTCTTCTTTCATAAAAAATTTTAAAAAACTGAAAAAATTAAAAATTTCTTTCCAAACGAAACTAATTTAAAGCAAAAATCAGGCCAATTAGTTGCCTTGATTATAACCTAACTCATGTGTTGCATCCACTAATATTTTATTATAGAATTTTTCTTATACTTTTAATGTCAATTCATATTCATTATTATACAATTTTCCAAACACTCAATTTATATTCGTCATGAGTTAGCTATCAACTGAAAATTTTACCAATGTGATTAATATTTTTTATAATATACATATTTTATCATTATTAATACTAAAAATTAAAAACCACCACTACCATGATATTAAATTCATACACAACCGAAATCACATATCTAATATCTCCCTATCAAATTTTAGTTTTCCCACAAATTCAAATCATTGTAGTAAATTATAAAAATAAGAGAAATAGATATTAGGATAGCACAAAAATATGGCCAAACCCAATGACTTTACCTGCTCCGATTTTTTAATAAGTTATTTAAATTTTGTTACTTTAAAATAAATTTTTTAATATCCCGTGCATAACACAGGTTTTATGCTAATACAATTTATATCAATTCAATCATTGAAATGTAACGTTGAAATCCATTCATTGAAATATATTTTTTTTCTAGCAGAGTAATCATCAATGAAATACACTGGGGTGTTTGGTGGAAATTATTTTAAGTTAAAAGCTGATAATCAAAAAACAAAAGTTAAAAGTATTTTTCACCCAGTTTCTGAAAAATCAATTTTTTTTCAACTTATTTAAACTATTTATGCCTAATAAGTTATAAGCAAAAGTTACATCAAACAGTCTGACACAAACTCCCATATTAAAATAAGTTATAGGTTACTTCCATAATCCCCACCAAACACCCCTAATGTATCAATCCAAATAACAAATTCTACCTTCTTCTTTTTTTTCCTATTCAAACACACTCAATATATCAATTCAATCATTGAAATGTAGCATTGAAATCTAGTTGTTCTAACAGAGAGTAGTTCATCGATGAAATCTGAAAATTCTATTAACTTCAGATCTATAATTTATCTAGCTTTCAATTGGATAGATTTGTAGAGTAGAGATGAGAGATTTGACCCTTTTTTATTGGAGTTCAACCTTGAGTAGAATAAATTGTCATTGAAGTTTAGATTTTTAGTTTCTACACGACAAAATGAATTGGGTTTTTTTTTTAAATTTTAAAAAAATAAATCAAAATTGACAAAAACAAGTCAATGATAATAGATTTTTTTAAAGTTTATTTTGGCTTTTTAAATTTTTTTTAAAGAATTTTTATTTACAAAAATACTCTATTTTTTCTTTATTCTATTAAAACATTTTTATATTGTCATGAATAGCATATTTTAGGGTGAGCACCAGAAATCGAACTTTCCCAACTTACTAACTTTTTTACTAATAAAATGTTTGGATTGAAGGGTTAAATGAAAAAAACACTTCAAAATATATATATATATATATATAACTCAATATTTTGAATTTTTTTTTATTGTCACTTGTAATCACCTATCATTTTTCTTCTTAAAACATTTAGGTTATATTAAATAATCGTATATTTTTATTTTCAAAGTATACAAACAAATCTTTCTATATAAAATTTTCATAGCTATTGTATCTATCTGTCACATCATTCTACATCAAGTTTCTTGTATAAAGAAGGGGTAATAACAATACAAGGTAAGTTCAAAAAAAAAAATTTACCAATTAATGATGAAGTTTACAAATTTTAATAACTAAATTGTTAAATTTTTTTCATGAAATTGTGATTTGTTTTTAAAAGTTAACACTAAATTCTAATTTCTCCTATAAAAAACTACCAAAGAAAATTCATAACAAATTCCGTCACACACTCTCACATGCTCAAATATATGAGAGATCAAATGAGATCGACTTCTCAATTGAAAAAATAATCACAGATGAAAGTGAAAAGAAAAGGGGAGTGAGCCAGAGAGAGAGAGAAAGAAAGATTAACCCTTTAGCTTTGTATTATAGACAAAGAAAATGGAGGACTACAATATGATTGTAAAAGAAACTGAAATGGAACAACTTGTTCAAAAGCATTTCCTGTGCACAATGGAAGAACCAGACTCCATGTACTCTCCCTTTGAAATCCACATCTGCAACACAAGCACAGCCGTCGCTCAAAGTTAATTCCACACCTTTTTCTACCATTCTACGTTTGTTTCAACAAAAAACATTTTCTACAAAGAAGTGGTGGTGGTGGTGGTGGTGGAAGCAAAAGGGGGGTAGTGGTGACGGTGGCCGTGGTGGTTGATGGGGGGTGGTGATAGGGTGGGAAAACTATTTTCCACTTTTCAAAAGTGAAAACTGCTCGAATGAGTTTGTTTTTCATTGATTAAAAAAATATATTTTTCATTGACTCTCATTTTTCATTATAGCAAATGCCACAAAATGCAAAAAATATTTTCCACTCAAACAAACAGAGTACAAACATAACAATAAATTATTAGCAAATGCCACAAAATGCAAAAAATATTTTCCACTCAAACAAACAGAGTACAAACATAACAATAAATTATCCTACCAAAATATTTTTTGTGCCGAGATAAAACAGGGCTTCTAAATATATTTATAAAAACTTCACAACCATTTTCGTTGTTCAATTTTGTGAAAATGACCAAATCAATCCGATCAAAACCAAACTGTCATATTAGGCTCAGGTCAATTGAGGGAAGCTTATGTTTCATTTTTTAGTGGAGAACATTTTCTCAGTTACGGAAAAATAGAATGTTAGAAGGTACCTGCTGAAAGGTACTGAGTGAAGCTACCATAGAGCCACCTCTCCAAACGCTATACATCCTCTCTGGAGGTGCAATCACCCTAACCTTGACACCGGGAGGTGTCAATGAGTTTAGCTCCTTCAATAGTCGGTCAGCCATGCCTGGTATGACGGTGGTACCCCCGCTTAGCACCACGTTCGCAAACATGTCTCTCATAATGTCCATGTCACACCTCCTCCTGATCGACTTAAACAGAGTCTCGTGGATACCTCCTCCTGATTCCATTCCATTTATGCTAGGATCAAACAGAACTTCCGGGCACTTGAACAGCCGTACTCCAATTTTTATCACTTGCCCATCTGGCAATTCATATTGCTTGTCAAGCTCAGAGCTTTCCCTTGACATAGCAAGTTCCTTCTCAAAATCTATTGCCACGTAAGTGAGTCGCTCCTTGATGTCCCTAGCAATCTCTCTTTCTGCTGATGTGGTGAATATGTAACCTTCTTCGGCTAGGATCTTGGTAAGGTAGTCTGTTAGGTCCTTCCCGGCTAGATCAAGCCGTTGCACGGCATGTGGAAGTGCATACCCTTCATAAATGGGGACAACATGAGTCACCCCTTCTCCAGAATCCACCACAATTCCTGATTAAATTTCTCAATTCGTGTTAATGGAACACCTAAGTAGCATAGACAAGGACAAGCAGCCCGACACGCCGACATGAAAATGCAGGACACACTTTGAACAAGTTAAAATTTTATATTTTCATAAATTCCCTGTATGTCATATATATGAATAATTCAAGATCATGAAAAATATGTAACATAACACTAATTATATTAAAAATTTATATATTTTATAACTTGAATATCAAGATATCATAATTACATTATAAAGAATGCAAAACAATTAGAAAACATTGTAATACACATGATGTATTCATCTTACAAATATTTCAAAACTTATTTAGAGTGCATAAATTGTGTTCTAAAGAATACAGAACATTGTAATTACGAAGGAATTCATCACATAGAGCGTGTTTGGAGGATTCCAGAAGTGTCCGCAAAGTTCATTTTTTGGGTGAATAATCCGCGAAGTTTATGATATTATGAATTTGATTTTTTAATTACGACACGTTAAAAAAATATCAAAGACATGGTGTACATGCTTCCTCTCTAGAAGTGTCCGTACTTCTTAGGGGAACAAATTTGTCTCTGCATGATCAGGGACAGAGGGAGCATGGACCCAGGAGGGGCTGGGCACATGCCCCTCCCCAATTTTCTAAAATCTATGTTTTAGTATAGGTTTAAAAGTAGTTCTTTCAATTTGCCCCCTCTAAATTTGAATATATACTCTTAAATTTTTTCTTTATTTTAAAATAGTTCCTATAATTTGCATTGCACTATTCAAATGTTTATTTTATGACAGAAATCGCCTTTATGATGTTATAAAGTCTACCTTTAAATGTTTATTTTCTATTCTTTTTTATAATACTTGCTAATTTGTTCTTATTGGTATTTTTCCTTCTGTGATGAATATATGTACAAATATGTAGAACGATTACTTGTACTTTTGATGAAATCTCTCAATAAAATATTTGCTTTTATTTGGAGACAAACATTACAATCTAAATCAATGTTGTGATTAGAAATGGGGTTAAGTGTGTGTAACACTATTATTGACATAACATTTTGGTATACTTGCCCCCTCTTAATCAAAATCCTGACTCCGCCACTGTGCATGATCATAATCTGCTTATGTTCACGTTCACCAAAACAGTTACAGAGGGCATTGTTTTAGCTTACCTGTTGTCTGGCCACTGCCACACAGGGAGAGCACGGCTTGAATTGCTATATAGGTGGCAGGAACTTCAAAAGCTTCAAACATGATTTCCACCATCTTCTCTCTGTTAGTTTTGGGATTCAGGGGGGCCTCGGTTAGGAGGACACAGTGTTCTTCTATGGTAACTTGAAGTTTGTCCTTGAAGATATGATCCCACAGTCTCTCCATGGTTTCCCAGTCTCTGACTACTCCATGATCAATGGGATAACTTAATCTTAGGACCCCACGGCGTGCTTGTGCTTCATCTCCAAAGTACATATCCTTCTGTCCAATTCCAATCATTGCATGCTTGTTCCAGGGCTGACCTATCACACTGGGAACAACTACACATGGAGCATCATCACCTGCAAAACCAGCCTACAGTGCATGCAAAAGAGCTGATTCAGATTCAATATTTTGTGAGCTGCAAAAGTAAATGCCTATGCTAATAATTGTACGCTCCTGTTGTTTGGTGGAATTTTTTTTTTTTTTTTTTTTTTTTTTCTTTTTGTACAAAAAAAATTTTTTTTTTTTGCATTTGGTACAACAGAAAAAACAAGCATATTTTGGTGGAAAATGTTTTCCACCTTTAAAAAGTAGAAAACGTTTTCCATACTAAAGTCTTATAAATGTCACCACGCTACTACCTCCGCCTTTGCCCCGCACCACCCCCATCACCACCATTAATACAACCAATAGTACATTAGTTTTAAGGACACAACTAAACATAGGAAAACATTTTCTCTAGAGAACATTTTCTGCAAAAAGTTTTCCATCGAAAAATATTTTCCGCAGAAACAAACGGAGTGTTAGGGTATAACATAAAAGGCTCATGAATTGCCTTGCCTTCACCGAGCCTGATCCATTGTCACAGATAATTGGTCGGCTTCCATCAAAATCCATGTCCTGCACCTTGGAAACCTGTTGAAGAGAACAGAAAGGGAACAAAGGTAAAAACCTTGGACACCAGAGGTCCTGCAATATATTTGAGTATGAAGACAAAAAGGAAGGGAATAATACTTAACTTTAGCTTTGGCATGAATATTAGAATTACACCCTTTTGGTTGCTTAAAAAGTATGTCAAGCTGTCATGGCATATTAAAATGCCAAGTCACAAGGCCATTTACATTACCTTTTTCTTTCTCTGAAGCATGAGTTTTCCTGGTGCCCTTTGTATCACTAGTCTGGGCTAAGGATAATCTGTAGCTAAAACTTGTCATCCAAAAAGGTGGAATCTGGAAGAATAAGAATTGTTAAGGGAGCCAATAAAGTAAAAGACACAAAAAATGTGGCTAAGTCGCTCCACCAGATTTTGCTGGCATATAAACACAAACTCATTTCTAGTTTCTATATTTCCTGTTCTTAGTAATAACACCACCACACCTATCCAATTAAACACAAATTCTGCCACACCGACTTATGATCGTATGAATTCTCTAGAGAAATCATTTGTGCACATTCCACTTCAAAGCACCCAAGCGAAGTTAATTTAAAAAATGAAATATTGGTGCAAGATTGTGGTAGAATCAAAAGATTATTTTCAACATAAACATAGCATCCCCTTTAAGAACAAATGGTTAACTTGGAAACAGTCAGGGATAATACCAATGTACAGCTTCTCTTCCAGTTTTATTATCACTTCAAAGACAACAATAAAAGGGATGGAGGGAGGGGGGAAGGAAATAATTGTTCTGAATTCAGGGAAGCACCAAGCAACCAGAGATGAATGCTCGCAATGTAACTCTATTAAATGGAACCGCCATTAATATTTAGCCCCGAAAACTCTCCTCATGAATCCTTGCATAGAGCTTCCCATCCCAGCACCAACAGCTTCTGCCAAATACGTTGCCTGCAAAATTTCCACCACACTTTGAGGGCTTTAACCATCAAAATCCTGAACTATTCAAAATGCCCATAAAAAGGAAGAAAATGAGAACTCCGTTATGACAAAAATGTGGGTGAAGGTAGACTACCTCTTGAATGGTCTTTTTCAGATCAAAAGCATCTTTAACTCGCCCATCCAAGAATGTCCATGTATCACGAAAATCTGTAAGAATTTGTCACGCCAATGATAAATCACAAATATGAAGGCTTTAGCTTCATGTACAGATAACTAATTATTCATCTGACCCAAACTGATGGCACTGCCCAATAGTACGGACACCAGCATCAATGAACCACCTCTTGGAACGAGCAGATAAGAAAATGGTAGTGCAATGGGTTCTCCCTTTCTGGCTGCATTTCTTCCCAAATTCTTTAAAAAAGACACATCAATTTTCACTTACATTGCATGACACGGGCAATCAAAAGGGTAAACAAAAGGGGAGTGTAACTACTCTACCAAAGGTTGTCATAAAACTGGGAACACACCTTACTGATTTTCCTCAAAATATTCAACTAAAAAATGGGGAAAATTAAGATGTCACCATATACGTGTTAAAAAAAAAATCAGAATAATGATTACTAATACAAGAGGTGATCCATCCACCTGAAAGGTCTGTGTTAATGCCATAAACAAACAACTGTGTCCGAGTGAAAAAACACCAATCAAGCTTCTATGTGAGGAACAATTCCATACACATCAAAGGTGAAGAAAGTAAACCTGGGGAACTGTCAGTTAGCATGTACACCTCAGTTGTTGAGTATATTGCTCCAAGGACAGTACGCTTTGCATACCAATCAACATCAGTGGCCTCATCACCAGCAGCATGCCAGATCTCATCAACCAGCATGGCTCGCTGCTTAAAACTTGTTGGAATGTTTTGTGGTTGTGCCTATGCAGCAAGTAATTACAGAGAGTTTTTAGTATTTAAAGTGAACTAATGCAAAACGCTGATGAGAGGAAAGGTAGCTAAAATTGGCACCTGGATGCTGAGTGCTTGAGGCCATTTAGATATGTAGGGAGCCTGCATTTCTAAGCGGATCCTGACAAGCTTTGAAATGCGCTCACTAGGTATCAAGTTCCTTAACTCTTCTTCCGAATCAATTCTATCAATAAGCCTTTGTAAACATTCATCCATGAAAAACTGAACAGAACAAATTAAAAGGGAAAAAGCAATAAAAGAGAATAAGGAATCATCAAACTCATGTAATGCCGCAGTGTTGGCTACTCAAACTAGTCTTGTTTGTAAATTTTCACTAGTACCATGATCTGACAAATATGTCAATAATACCTAGCAGAAACTGTGCAATAAGTAATTCGAAAGAAAATAAAAGAAACAGTAAATGAAGGTTAAAAATACAAATGGTGAGCACTCACATACTAACCACGTTAGAAATAGAGGGCAAAAAGTCTAGATGTTAGTTTAAAATAAAAAAAAAAACAAATAGGTTAAAAATAATTTAGCCAAATGAATAGTCCAAATACCATACTTTCACCCCATAACACAATATACAGTGACCAAACCCAGATGCAAACTAACCCCCCAAAAAAAAATTAAATAAATTATACCTCTACTAATGCAGCTTCTTTCCTAGGGAAAGCGCCAACAATAGAAGGAGAAACACCAGCCTCTCTTGCACCTGCAATCATGGCTGCTTCAGTCCATCCCATCCTAGGCTGCAAACAAATAGCAGTCAACTAACTGAAAAACCCAGTTATAATCACAATCATTCTTCAGTCAATTTACAGCACCTAAAAGCATTCTGTGGAGTTTGAATCAAGACATGGTGTTTCCAATCCCATAGTATGAACCTACTCAATTTTGCAAAAAAAAAAAAAAATTCTAATATGCAGGCTCTTAACTTTCAGTGGCCCGATACATCAATTCCCCAAAACACAGCAATAATGTGAAAAAGCCGTTGCATGGTATGTCAAACACCATGGACTACAAAACCCATTCAAAAGCTTGTGCGGGCTGCAGTCCCACGATCACAGTGTCTTGCTTTTGGAAGAAATATTCGGCTAAAACTACATTAGTGAAAAAGCTATGTATCAGCATGAGAAATCACACAGCAAAGGGATTAAACTGCCATAGAAAATGCAGGGGTCACGAAATCAGCGCCAAAATTGGGCACTGCATTGTCAATTCCCCAAAAGCATGAGCTAAAATTTGGAAAAACCAACTTAATCTAATCATATAATCGCTAAAATTATCAACGATTACCCAACAATTCCTAATGAATCGTTTGGAAAAGTAGGGAAGTGAAGAAATGCAGTGAAATAATTGTGATTTCTCAGCAATTCGTTTGGATGAACAATAAATACATGTGTTTTTCTATTTTATTTGCTTTGTATATAGATAGATTTATGTATTTGTTTTGTATGTAGATGGATAATTTATTATACAATTTTTATACCATTTTCAGTGAGAACAAAAGATGAGCTTCAGGCTGTGATTGGTGGAAGAATTTGATGAGAGAAATGGAAAGGGAAAACGAAATGTAATCCCACATGCTCTTTTCTTTCTTCATTTCCCAACTCAACCAAACATAGCTCGGAATTTGAATCCTATCAATTCTTTCCCTTTCCCTTTCCCTTTCCATTTCCATTTTCATTTTCACAATTAAATCATCCAACCAAACACAAAATTTCTTTTTCTCACCATTTTTTCTACTCAATCATTAATCATCCAAGCAAACAACCATTTATTTTCTTTTCTCACCAAAACCCTCAAACCAAGCGGACACTAATTGCTAACATTTCGAACAAAAATCCCAATACGTGTCTCAGTGTGTGATAGAATAGAAGAGAGAATTAATATACAGACCACATGACGAAGCGAAGCGCTGAGTACGCGAGCTTGCTCGTCCTGGTATTGAGCTCGGGCTCGTGAGCCTCTCGAGGTCTGTTTCTCAAATCGACTAGCTTCTTCTTCTTCAAACCCTTTTGTTGATGATGATGATGAAGTGTTTGGGGTTTGTTGATTGGGGTAATTAGGGATATGATCAGAGAAAGTCTGAGAAGAAGAAGAAGAAGAAGAAGATTGGGAAGTAGAAGAAAAACGAGATGAGTTTGGGAGGATTAACGTTCGAATGTGAGAGATTTGGGGATGGGTGATGCGAACCACCGACTTCACGAGGAGCAGCCGATTCGCCGCCGATCGATACATCGTCGTCTATGCGATTTATTTCACACTCTTCACGGCGTGGAGCGAGAGAAAGAGAGAGTGAATTTTGTTTGTTTCTTTGTTTGTTGGTTTCGAGATCAACTTGAATTTTTAGATTCAACGTGTCAGTGTGTGATGCAACCACTTGTCACCCGTTCCTGCCGCTAGCTCATCGTATGGGTTCCACACCATTTGGGGTACGGATACACAGCCGTTACTGTTGTACAATTAAATGGGATTATTTTAAGGTCTATTTTGATAATTTAAATTATTTACATTTTAAAATATATTTGTAAAAATTTAAGTTAATCAGATTTTATATACTCATTCATCTACTCATATTTGTAGCTATAAAAATAAATGAATAAACGATATTTGATTAATTTGAAGTTTTGTAAGTATGTTTTACTTAATATATTTTAAAATATGAACAGTTTAGATTATCGAAATGGATCTCGAAATGAGCCCATTTGACTGCATAACAATTACCCCAAATTCAATTCTATATAGGTAAGGACTAAAAGGAGATTCGAATTAATCAAGAGATTATTCAGCTCAGACTTGAATTGTGTTGAAACCTGTTTAAGCTTGTTCATATTTAAATTATAATTTGAGATTGTTTGTCAAAGTCTGATTTGAATTAACTTGAATTGTTCGAATTGTACTAAATTCAAACCAAACCAAGTCTTAAATCTTATCAAATGGAATCGATTACATAAATTCTTGTTCTCCATGCGGCTCCATCAAAGGTCATTTCGTTAATCAAATTAAGTAGAACCATGTCTATATTTACAACACTAGCCAACGTTAATCTAGGTCTACTCAGTCTTCCTAACACTTCCATCCACCGTCACTGTTCGAATTGCACATAAATTTTAATTTTTTTTATTATTCAGCTAAATTATTAATTTGTTAAAATTAGATTTTATTTACATTTTTTAAAAAAAATCATTAATAATATCAAATAAATAATTTATATAATGTAAGATAAATGTTACTATGCTAATCTTTACAATTTATGAGTAAAAATAAAAAAATAATATAAGATTTTGTATTGTGTTACATGTGTATATAATATATATTTAATATAATTTAATAATCTAAATTACTTCAATATCGTGTACTGACTAATAATTTATATGCATATTTAATATTTTTATATATCGATATATATATATATAATTCTGGTTTCAGGTTGTTTGATATCTTTATCCAAATCCACCTAAATTTAATTCGGTGTTTTTAATTTGTGTTCAAGCCGGTACAAAATTCAAAAGGGTAAACTACACTTTGCCCTCCTAAAGTTTCATCTATTTCTCACTTTGATCCTTTAAGTTTAATTTTTTTCACTTTGGCCCTTCATGTTTGCAATCCTTCCCACTTTGGCCCTTTAAGTTTGATTTTTCTCACTTTGGCCCTCTATATTTGCAATCCTTCCCACTTTATCCCTAGACTAACTTCTATAAAAAAAACTAACAGAATCTATCACATCACCAACACACCAGCTCCACATATAATATAAAATATTCACTAAAGATGCACAAAAAAAAATGAAAAATAGAAAAAAAATTGATTTTTTTTTTAGTTTTTAGTGAATTTTTTTTCATAGTTATTCATAAACATTATTACATTATACGAAAACAATTTTAATTAAAAAAAGAAAAAAGTACACTAAAGACGGAAAAAAAATGATAGTAAACCTTTCATTTCATAATTGATAATACAGCTGTTTGAGTCAGTATATTTTTATTTTTTTTCCTCTTTTGTAATTTTTTTTCTTTTTTTAGTTAAATTTATTTTTATTTTTGTTAGGTGCATCTAATCTAGATGCATCTATAATGTAATAATGTTTATGAATAAATTTGAAGGGAAAAAAAGTTCATTAACAACTAAAAAAAAATTCAATTTTTTTGTTTTATATTTTTCATTTTTTGCATCTTTGATGAATTTTTTACATCACACATGGAACTGATGTGCTGGTGATATGGCAGATTCTGTTAGTTTTTAGATGAAAGTTAGTTTAAAAGTAAAGTAAGAAGGATTGTTAACATAAAGGGCCAAAGTGGGAAGTATTGCAAATATAAAGGGTCAAAGTGGAAAAAATCAAACGTAAAGGGTCAAAGTGGAAATGATTGCAAACATGAAGGGTTAAAGTAGAAAAAATCAAGTTTAAAGGGCCAAAGTGAGAAAGAGGTGAAATTTTAGGAGGACAAAGTGTAATTTATCCAAATTCAAAAATATCTTGATCAAACACTAAAAAAAGTCAACCTAGGCTCAAGTTGAGCTCGCCCAAATTACACCCCTATCTTAATCCTATTTTGGGAAGATGGAAATAAGTAAAAAAAAAAAAATTATTATTTCCTTCCTTTTTGGTTTGTTGACAAATTCATTTGAAAAGTACAAAATAAGTAACTTTTTTATTTTTTTTAAAAATTATTATAATATAGTGTCACACCATTTATAAAATTATAAATTAATCATATTATTCTCATTACCCTAGTCAAAAGTCATACATACGAGTGTATTTTAGTAATTTTACTTGTTAACTTATATTCAACTTCTCAAATATTTTTTTACTCAAATAAATTGACTTTTGACTTTTTAAAAATAAACTAAAAGTTGACTGTTTTTCTTTCTTTTCAATTGAGGCTTTAACGTGATTTTTTTAGATGGCTAAGATTTAATTCTATCAAAATTGAGAGTATAATAATTATTTCACCGAACGAGGATTATCTGAAGTAATTTTTATTATAGTGATCTTAGAATGATTTGTTGGATGATTGATATTTAATTTTATGAAAATTGAGAGTATAATAATCATTTTATCTTCCAACTCTCAATTCCTATCTTCCCACTCTCAATTCCTAACCTTATTACTCAACAACCCATCTATGAAAAATAACTCTAGAAGATCCTAACTCCACCTTTAACTGGGCTGATTATTTTCGAAGTAAGTTAGGTGAAATTATTAGTGTAGTGATAATTGTTTTAGCAACTGTGTTGGGTGCAATGTTTTCAAAATCGGATCGTTGAGCGAACCGGAAAAGAGACCAGGTGGACGGGTCACCGGTTCAACCGTCGGGTCAAAGCGGTCGAACCGTGACGTCATAATTAATATTATATAATTAAAAAATATAATTATAAATTATAAATAAATAAAAATATGTATAAATAATCAAATAAAAATAAAAATTGTTGCATAGTATTTATTAATAATATTTAATAAAGTCATAATTGATAAAAAAAAAAGTCACTTATTTTAAAGAAATTAAATTTTTTAAACATTCCCTCCAAACAAATTGATTGAATGCTAGATTTAATTTTGGAGGGAAATGAAATTTTCAACCCTCCCTCCAATCAATATGTTTCAAATAATTTGATTGAATCCCACATAGAATTTTGTAGGTTCTCTTTGAAAAATCTTTTCCTATAAATAGGAATAGACTTTCATAATCTTCTCAAGCTTTCAATGAGACTCTTCATTATGAGAGGAGATTCTTGAAATAAGAATTTTTAGTCAAAATTTTGAAATATATTTATATATATATATATATATATAAGAAAGAAAGAAAATAAAGAAAGAAAATAAAAAAAAGGAAAACCGAAAAAAAAAAATAAAAAAAACGGTTTGACCCTCCCGACCCGGTCTGGGTCACTGGTTTTACTGGTTCGACCACTGGGTCACTGGGTTTTTCGGGTTTTGGCCCCACTCCGGGTTTAGGGGGTTGACCGGACCAAAACAAGGCCCGGTTCTCGGTCCAACCGGTCCGACCAGCCGGTCCGGTCCGGGTTTGAAAACAATGGTTGGGAGCCCCAGTGGGGGGTGACCCCCAGCACCCCCAACTCCATGTGGGGGGCTGCAAGTGGCAGAAGAAAAAAAAAAAAATTTTATGGACCAATGAAAAAACAGTGGGGGTGGTGGGGTCACCCCCACGGGGGGTTGGGGCATTAGTCTTGTTTTAGATATGACTTATGAACACATCTCCATTCTTACTTAGAGATAAAAAAAATATATTTTTTATTCAAAATATGAACATAGAGTATCTCATTATTTACCCAAACTCTAACCACAAATCATCATTGTATTCTCTAAAGATTTTCCTCCAAAATATGTTCATTGAATAATTTTTGTTCATTAATAAATATTTAATTTTCAATTTTTTGTTAAATATATTTAATATTATACTCATTTTAAAGTATGATTTCACCCTTTTTAATGATAGCAATTTTACAAAAATTAAATTTACATATTAAAAGTTATTTCTAATATAATCAAAAATATAAAATAAATAGTGTTTTAGAGGTGCTCCTCTTATTTTCATCCTCCCTCCAAATATAGAAGATCAACCCATCCTCCTCCCAAATAGAGATGGATTTAGGCTTATTTTGGGAAGTTGTTGTTTTTTTTTTTTGACTTATTAGCTTTTTTTTCAAAAAAAAAAAAGCAAAAAAAAAGAAGTGAAGAAATGGAAGATGGGTTGGAGATGCTCTAAGCTGGTTTTTTTACTTGTTACAAAAAAATATGTAGAAAAGTAAAGAAGTAATGTGACTTAAATAAGCCAATAAGCAACTTATAAGCCAAAAAAATTGTTAGTGAGGGAATTAAGAAAAATTATTTTTGCTTAACAACCATCGGACTAGTAAGAATTCATATTTGTTTTGTCATTCTATGATGAGATTAATTATATGAAGCTCCAGAAATATCTTTAGTGTTTTTGATATATTTTTATATTAAAATTTATATTTTGGTACTATATTATTTTAATATATTACTTTATGTTGATATATATTTTTTTGGTACAAATATATTATACTATTTTATTTTAATATTAGAAATTATTTTTTTATTAAACTATTTTTATGAAATGTGGGACAAAATAGTATTACTACCTCCAATTTCATGGGATTAGATATCACCTCTCCCATAAGATGGTTAATCCCCTCCTTGGACTGCTTTTATAGTCTCATGAGACTTATAATCACATGGCCACTTTGTAAAACAAACACTAGCAGTCAAATTTCGTCCGCCAACTCTAGAAAGAAACAGGGTCTCAAAGCCTAATTTTATCACTCTACCATTATTT